AGTGGGGGTGCGTGACAGGTGGTAGGGTGATGCCACAAACAAACAAACAAACAAACAAACAAACAAACAAACACCCCCCCCCAGACCCCCTGCACCCGAAAACGACACCCTACACCTTAGGGGGAGGGGTTCAAAATTGTCGGGTTGTTGGGGCCTTCGGGGGGCGCAGGGTGTCATTTTAGGGTGCATGGACAGCGGGGTGTAGGATTTCATTGCCCTTTCAGGGTGATAAAAAAAAACCCAAACTTCCCCCCCCCCCCCCTTTTCTGGATATCTTTTTATGGGGGTGTGTGATACGTCGTAAGGTACTTGCTGGGCAAAAATAAACGAAGGGTAACTTCAGTACAGTCACACAAACGAGTTATAATTGTACTATGGGCCAAGATACAGTTTGCAATTGCGATGATTGCCACCGTATTCGGAGAAAAAGTTCGGTTTTATTACGACAGGGGCGTAATTGCAAAGTGTATCTTGGCCCATACGACAATTGCTACTCGTTTTTGTGACTCCCGTGTAGTTTCCCAGAAAAAAGCTTGGTTGCATTACGACAGGGGTGCATCAGAGGTTTTGCCTGTCTTCGACATGAAAAATGGTGTGGGATTCAATATTCTTGGGTTGTTGGGGCACTTGGGGGACACAGGGTGTCGATTTCGTGTGCAAGCATTTCGTGTTGTTTGGTCTGCGGGTTTTGTAGTGTTTTAGGGGTTTGTCTGTGTGGTTGGTGGTGGTTGGGGTGATGACGATTTCCGTTCTTTCTGTTCCACACAGTTTCAGCGCAGGGTTTTGGGGATGGAACTCCTCGGTGGGTGGTTTCGTATATCCCAAATCTGTGTATTTATACAGAAGTCAACAAAAGTTAGCACGTGGTCGTAAGCCAATTGGGACATTTTTCATAGCGCAATTGGGTTGACATGAACTAATGGTTTAAAAACATATATAATATAGAGTTTACAAACGCAAGTCTGACATTTCGCACATCACGAAACGATGCATCATATCCAATGGAACCGTGAGATCATGCATGCACTAAAACACATCGCGTTGCCAAACATACAAACAAAACTTACAATCCATAGGAAATATGAATCAATAATGTACATCTGCCATCATGTGAGTCACAGTAATTGCGGACTCATACAACACAATCATACAACGAGCGGGGAAAACCAATACAACTGCTGCATGAGTCGTACAACATGCGATATAGCGCTCGAATCCCCGGAAGTACAAATGTATCGTCGAACAACTGCTCCTCCTATGACTCTTATCCACCCACATAAGAAATTACATACTCTCCATATGTACAAACGTCGTCGTAATGAGAAAAAAAAAAAAAAACAGAACAACTGTTACTAATATACATATGTCTCACAAAAGCGAAGACATAAAAACCCTACCACAAAGAACCTCCGCTACCACACGCACCGTCTGACGCCTTGGACTATACACGAGTCCTTGGAAGGCGGAAAAAACCCACATAAATAACTGTGAAACTAAAGTACATATGAGGAACTAACAAAATGACTACGAACAACGCACCGAACCATGAGGAACACCCAGATACACAGGAAGATATATCTACTGCCCCTGGCCACTGCCTGCTCGTCGTCGTCCCCGTGTTGACGATGTCGTATGTGTCCCTGCCTCAACCAATCTCTCTCTCTCTCTCTCTCCCTGCGCCTCACAACGTCGATGGGCTCCTCCTCGGTGTCGGCCTCTGAGGCACGCGTCGCCACCCACCTCGCACGCTCCCTATCCAATCTGTCGTGCAACTCCCTCAATCGCGCCTCGTCCATAGCAATACGAGACTCTATCTCGTTAATGCTGGTGTGAGATCGCTCTCCACGAGGCGCCGACACACCATCCTCTCCGGAAGTGTACAACGCAGGCGCAACCATGCGTGAACCTAAAAGTAGGTCTCTGTGCGCGTCGTATCTAGGCAATCCGGAGAATGCGATAAGCGGTCTGCATACTCGGTGTCGGCCTCTGCTCCTCCCTCAACCGTGCCTGCTGCGCCGTGAAATCACCACTCACACCATCATCAACTCGTCGCACTATGTTCCACGGACGGTGAAGCGACTGTTGTGTGTCTAGGTGAGGCGACGACGACGACGACATGTGGCCTCTCTCGACAATACTGTCTGTGACAGTTGTCGGAGTACCGAGGAGCGTAGTCGGCGGAGGAGATGTAACTGGGGGGATGCGAGTCGTACGTGCACCAAAAGCCACTGCTATGCTAGACTCTGAACACTGCTTCTCACACTCCAAGCTCGTAGGAGAGCCGAAATACAGAGGGCTCATAGGTGTGTATAGCGGGGGCGAGCGAACTCCGACCCCGAGAGATCCTGCAGGTCCCCTGCTAATCGGATCCTCCACTAGCACACGTTGCAACTCAACAGGGTCAAGTAGGCCCAGTGTAATTTGCCCCTCCTCCATATCTGCTCTCACGGGGTCAGGACGGTCATGTGCTGTACCGCCCTCCCCCTCTTCATCAACACCACCTCCACCCTCCGCAGAATGTGACGGATCTTCGTGCGCCACCGGTGAAGGATCACGCAACACCAACGCCAACAACATACTGCCTCCGGCCTCGTCCACATGTGCATCGCCCTGTACAGGGCCACATGCGTCACCCCCAATCGGGCAGTGTGACGATCGACCTAAACCGGCACTGTGTGCAGGTGCAAGACGGTCGGGATCACCCGCCCCATCATCGACCTCCTCATCGGGTCTGCGGCCTCCATCCAACTCGCCTGAATCGTTGTCCATAGGAACTGCCTCCTGAGTGGCTGCAGGATCACGCTGCAACGTGCCCGACGCAGACAGTCCAAGTACGACGTTGGACACGGTCGGATCTCCATACTCAGACGCACCTAAGTCTCCTCCCATCGCAGACCCCGAGTCTACATCTCCCTGGGGCGACGTCTCGGGCACTGGGTGTTGGGTGTTGGTGGGTCTGCTGCAAACGGAAGCGGGTCTATAGGAACGCTATGCTCTACCCCGCCCGGATCAGGGACTGCAGTACCTGTCTCCAAGTCCCTAAGACGTTGCTGCTCCACCATGTACGCATCTCTACCCGTCCACTCTCTCTGCAACCACTCCAGCCGCTGCTCCTCCTCTCGATCCATCCGGGCATGGAGCTCCTCCGTGGACTTTGCTCCACCACCCTCCATAGGATAATACTCGGCCTCATCCCCCACTCTCTCTCGCCCGTCAGTTCGCCCACGAACACCGCTGTCCGCAAATCCTAGTCCAAGGCCCTAAAAGTCACTCGTGTGCAGCTCCCTCTACTCCCTGTTGCCTCGAGGTGTTGAGGTGGGTGTATGCTGGCTAGGCAAATGCGCCTCTGCTATGATGTCATCTAGGTGGTCCGACGCCTCGTGTCTACCACCTGAAGTTGATCTTGCCAGCGTTTGCTGCGGCCTTGGCGATCTCCTGAGACCCTCGGTGGCAGGCGAGGCTCCGTGCTGCGCCAACCGTGCTTTGCGAAGCCATAATGGCTCCTCATCGTCCGCGCTGTCCAGCCTGGTCACCTCCCTCTCTCTGCACCCACCACGGGGTACACCACTAGACCCGCCTAAAGCATCTCCACTCGTGCCACATCTGCCAACTCCGCTCGCGGCGCGCGAAGCGTCTCGCTGTCCACGCTCCAACCCTATATTGGTGGTGGGGATGGAATCATCGTCACTCTCCCGAATGAATGTGCAGCGTGGCCAAAATCCATCTGCTCCTCCTCCGTGCGTGTAGTAGAATCTCTCCGCACTCTTATCTACACCAGATGGGAAATCCTCACCGCCCTCCGTGTCCGTCTGCTCCTCCGACGCCTCCACCGGCTCTGCTGGCGGCGGAGGCACATGGTCATAAGGAAGCAGTATCTCCGCTCTGGCACCGAAAACCTCAGCGACTCCCCCAGGGTGACGACCACCCTGCTGCTGGAAGCGACGAACCTGTGCACTAATCTCATATGCCGCCATTGCTGACTGAGCTCTGGCTCCCCACTCCTCTGGCTCAGGCTCGTCTTCCTCATCCTCGTCGTCGACCATCGGGTGTGTGTAGTCCTCTGGCTGCACCTCAGCCAGGGTCGCCATGTGACCCACGGAAGAACGTACCCCCCACTCCGCTCGCTGCATCCAAGTAGTTTGAGATTTGTAGCAATCTCAACTAACTGCGCGACCTTCCTGAACTCGAGCTTTTTGCGCTTGGCCGTGTGGATGCGCTCATGCTCCGCCCAATTCCTCTCAGCAGGAGAGGCGGACGTCCACATATGCATCACACGACCAGCGATTCCTGCAAGTCCGGGAAACATGCGCCGTGCTCCACCCACCAGGACGCGCACCTGCTCGTCTCCTCATCCTCGATACAACCCTCCGCCTCGGCGTCCCTCGTCACCCTGTCTATCGTGTGCCCGATCCTAGCATGGAATGACCGCATTTGCTCCCGCACCCGCAAGTATGTATCCCCCGCCGGATCACCGCGTATCTGTACTAACAGAAACGAGTCGCACTCAGAAACCACCTCCACGTCCGCAGTTGTCCTGTGGACGGACTCGTAGTAATTGAGAGAGCGTCTGCTGGGGTTGAGCAAGTGCGCCGCAGCGTGCGCAAGCTCAAGCATATGCATGGTGAGGATCTGTACCGCCTCCACGCACGGCCCCCGCATGTCATCAGGGACGTTAGCAGCAGCCACCTGCCGTACCAACTCCTGCGATCATGAGTAAATCGTGGATATGATCATGCCGCCCCTGTCCAACCTCCTCAATAGCTGGTGGACAGGGGTCATGACAGCAACAACGTGCTGAACGTTGCGCCAGAAATCGGCGCACCGGATGAGCTCTCGGACCCACAGAGCCTGTCTACGCTTCGACGGCTCCCATGGGATCTTGTCCCACTCGTCGTCATGAGGCATGCTCTCCAAGGCATTACGCCTGGCGAGCAAACACATGATCATAAAAAAAACGGACGCGAATCACGTCAAGAAAAGGAAGGGGGAAAAAAAACGAAGAGGAAGAAGATTACAAAAAAAAAATAAAAAAATAACTTACCACTAATCCTGTCCTGGTCGCGTCCTCGCCGCCGTCCGCGGGTGTCCGGCCTCCGTGCGCAGCCCTGCAGCCTTGTCCGCCGATTGCCACGTGGCAGATGGCAACGTGCCAGATCGCCACGTGGCAGCTCTCTCTCTCCCTCTCTCTCTCTCCCTCTTTCTCTAAGACTCTCTCTCTCTCTCTCTCTCTCTCTCTCTCTCTCTCTCTCTCTCTCTCTCTCTCTCTCT